ATGTTTGTAAACTTTGATTTATTTATGTTTTTATTTATTATTAATTAATTCAAATCTTAATTAAATTTACTGCAAGTTGTTGGATATTGTTATAGGTTAAATTTGGGTAATACAAAATACGAAAAAGATATGTTAAAACCAGTTTCGATTAGCGGCATTTTAGGGGGAAAACGCCATTAATGGAGTGCATATTTATCGACATTTTTACGATTAAACGCTGCAAAATGACCAACTTATTATGGTGTTTCTGCCAGACACGCCGCTACATATTTAATATATTGGGCATTTGTGACCACAAACGCCGCTAAATATCAAACATGTTTCTGCAAAACGCCTATAAATATCAAACCTATTGTGGCGTTTGTATTCTAAAACGCCGCAATATAGCATGACCTTTAGCGACGTTTGAATACTCAAATGCCACAAAATAACCTAACTTTTAGCGACTTTTATTAGTAGAAAACGCCGCTAACAGTTGCGGCGTTTGTAATAGCGGTGTTTTTGATCCTTTTTTCTTTGTGCCGACATCATTTTTATCAGCGCTTTTAAACGTCGTTATAGGACAAAAAAAGCCACTATCGACCACTGCTGTAGTGGAGTCACAATTTAATTAACCCAAATAATAAACACCACGAGTCACCACCCAATGCGGTAAACCCAATACAGACACGCAATCAACACAAATCAATAATTAGAGAAGTAGGGTTATCTTAATATGCAATTTCCTTGATTCAAATACAATACAATAATAATATAAAATAAAGGTTAAAATAAAAATAAGTGTCTACACTATACTGCTTAATATATATACACCAAAACTTAGTATATCACAAAAGATATATATACACCAAAACTTAGTGTATCACAAAAGACTCCCAAAGTTTCTATAACATCATCCCTACAAACGAAATACCAAAAGTTACAAAGACACCAAAAAAGATAACATCTCTTCAAAATAATTTTCCCATAATTCTAAAGGATAAGATATAGTCAAATATTTGATCACCTAAAAGCATAATTCCATAAGATTTATTGTCTAAAATAAGTATTTACTTATTAAATAAATTCAATATTTAATGATCTTCGACCACTTAAATTATAATAACATTTACTTTGATTATCATTTTGAAATTAAATAAATATCTAACAACACGTAAGTAACACAAACATAATTTAATTAATAATATAGCACTAGGATAAACCGAATAGACACACAATAAATCATACAAATAAATTGATATAGCACAGAATAGATACATATTTAAAATCTCGTGGCACTATATCTACTATCGACCAGTGACTTTTCCACGATTGAGACAAAGGTGTTTGGGCCAGTACAATCGAAATTTACAATAAAAGGAATTCAAGTTACTACTTTTAATTATTAAGGATGTTTATACCTCTATAATTCAAAAATAGAAATAATCTTAATAATAGTAATTTTAAAAATAATAGGAATGGTAAATTAAATTGACAAAAATTGAAAGTAAAAAGAGTAAAATAGGAGAAAGAAGATAGTTCAATTACTAAATTTATATATCCAAATAATTAAATAATAGTTCAATTGCTAAATTAGTAATTTACCCAAACAATTAAATAATCTTAAGTAATAAAACCCATATAACCAAAAGCCCAAAACCCATGCAGTACATGATCCACAAAAACCCTAGCAAGAGAGTCGCTATATTTGATACGTTGTATTTGTAGACGCCACAAGGATAGCAGCAGCAGCAGCAGCAGCAGCCAAGGGTTCAGAGAGGGAAAATGGCAGCGAAAAGGAAGACTCCCGTGAAGACCAGAAACCCAGATCTGATACGTGGTGTGGGCAAATATTCCAGGTCTAAGATGTACCATAAGCGTGGCCTTTGGGCAATCAAGGCCAAAAATGGTGGTGTTTTCCCCCGCCATGACCCCAAGCCTAAGGCCCCCGCTGCCGCTGAGAAACTTCCCAAGTTCTACCCCGCTGAGGATGTCAAGAAGCCGCTTCTTAATAAGCGCAAGCCTAAACCCACCAAGCTCAGGTTCTTCTTTTGAATTCATTATTCGTTTATTTGTAGATTTACGGAGAAGATGTGCCTTAGTGTTGGGTTTTTGCTTTTAATTTTTTAGGGCCAGCATTACACCAGGGACAGTGTTGATTTTGTTGGCTGGGAGGTTTATGGGGAAGAGAGTTGTTTTCTTGAAACAACTCACTTCTGGGCTCCTTTTGGTAACTGGTGAGTTTTTCTCTCTCTCCGGTGTCATTTCATTGTAATTTCGTTTGTTTAAAGCGTTATATTAGATCATATTTTACTGCTGTCCCTTATTCATCATTGACTGTAAATTTAATTGTGAGTGAATTGCAGTTCATTTGTTAACAGATAAATATGATTTAAGTTATTCAAATACTGTAAATATGATGTATGAAAGTAGTGTTAAAACCTTTGTTATAGGCTTTCATCTGTAGTAGAGACGTCTTAACAAACCCATTTAAAGTTCAACATGCTGGAGATCGAGTGATGCTATCTTTCCTAGGTTTACTTGATCCTTTTTCATCCTTTATATTCATTTTCTGGATATAATATAGTATTTGCATTTGGGTCTTGTGGCTTAGAGGGGGATATGTTATCATTATTTGCTGTGTCTGTTCAGTGTAAACTAGTTATTTTCCTTTTTTTTGAAATTCTTTCCATCGTTTGCAAGTGTTTTGCTCAAATTAGTGAGTTTCATATAACGGCAGGACCATTCAAGATTAATGGTGTTCCTTTTAAGGCGTGTGAACCAATCCTATGTCATTGCTACTTCCACCAAGGTTGACATCTCAGGAGTTAATGTGGAAAAGTTTGATGACAAGTACTTTTCCAAGGAAGTGCAGAAGAAGAAGAAGAAGAGTGAAGGAGAGTTTTTCGAATCTGAAAAAGAGGCAAGTTTTCTTATTGCATGTATTATAATTTAAGCTGTACTAATTGATTTCTTATGATTTAAAGTGCTGATTATGTTTTTTAATTACATTTCATCAAAAATATATGAAGGATAAGAAGAAACTGCCAGAAGACAAGAAAGAAGACCAGAAAGCTGTCGATGCCTCTTTAATAAAGTCCATTGAGGGAGTCCCAGACTTGAAGGCCTACCTTGCTGCTAGGTTTTCTCTCAAGTCTGGCATGAAACCTCACGAGCTTGTCTTCTAGAGGTTATATTGCATTTCGTTATGTTGAAGTGCTTTACTTTTGTTTTCTTTTGGTTTAGATTATCTGTTGTTTTATTATCGAATGCTATATGTTGAAAACCTAAATTTTGGGATAGTATCTTATGTTATGCAAGAACCTTAAGTTTCCTTATTTGGTTGTGTTCTCTGCTCATCTGATTGAAGCTTTTTCTATTTTGATATCTTGAACAAGTATCACCTGTTGCCAATAGGATAAGGGACGCAGTTTTCTGTACCTATATGGTTTTTGCATATCAGTAGGGAAACTGTAACAAAAAAGCTTGAGCTCAATTTGGTAAATTGAACCGTTCCAGTCTGCTCATTTAGGTTCAAACAATTTTCTCAACTAAAGTTTGATTTCTAATTTAATTATTTGTGTTCAACCTTGAATGTATGCTTTTTTAATGTGTTGATTACAATTTAAAACAATAAAAACATATTGAGAAGAAGCATGATTGCTCTTGGTGGTCATTTTAGTCAAGTATTAGGATATTTGAACTCAGCTTGAGTTATCAAGTTCCTTAAGTATGAGCTTGGCTTGACATTGTTCAAGGCAAGGACTTGCTTTTGAATAATTTGCGAGTGCAAAATGGTTAATTTAAGGTCTCTGTATTGTCTGGTTTGATTTGGGATCTGGAATTTTTATCTTTAATGTGTAAATAAAATTGGTAAATAGATGAAAACCGATGCAAACAAATTGGACTGAACATAGTTGTTTAAGGTGGTTGGACACCACAATCTAAACATAATTATTAAGGTAATATAATTTGGGTATTTCAGGTACCCTTAATTTAGTGGGGTCTACCACTTAGAATCTAAGTTTGCTGTACAAGCAACTACGATGAGGTTCAAATCCAATTACTGTGTATTCTTCTCAACATATTGAAAAGGTAACGAAAGATACATGCCTTCCATCTTAATTAGTTTTTCAACTTTCTTATATGAAGATGCATGCCTAACTAAAGCAATCAAGAGTGTTGTATAACATAAGTTCCGACGCCTCTTAGTTTACCTTTGTCTTGCAAGAGCCGAGAGCACTTGACCCACCTTTGAATTCGATCAGTGCTAAAAACGAAATCAACGATGACTCCGTCTGTAGGAATCTGGGCAAGAATCCATGGCTCAACCCTCACAAACCTCCTCCATGTTCTTTATTTTTCGTCACTACCATATTTGTTTTGGAGGCTTCTTCACTTGTTATGTTTGGATACATATCTTATTCATCACTACAATTTTATGGGTCCGCCTCAGCATTCATATAAATTTTGGGTTCTAAAATTTTTCCTTGGATTTCTTAAAGCCCCTTTTATATTTGATTCTCTTGAAATTTTCCCAATGCTCGTGTACTATTTGATGACTTTAGATGTATGATTCTGTATCTAAGCTTTTATAAAACACAATTCTAGATTGTAATGCTAAGGCCATAATTATGAGATTATAATACACAATTCTGTAAAATGATGATAAATTGAGATTTTTAGTGTTTAATACTACTTTAAAGATAGTATTATCAGAAAATAAAATTTCTAAAAAGAATATACGCTGAAAATCATATTATTTGATAAGAATCATATAATTATCTTACAAAAATTAAATTTAAATAATTATATAGAAAATGGTTTTTCATAATTTTGGTCAAAAAAATTACTTCATCCTAAAACTCCCTTGATAACTTTAGAATGTGTATTCATATTTAAAATAAAATGTAAAATATACACCAAAAAAATATGTAATTATATAAAGAATATAGAAACTAATTACTAGAAAATCAAGTACAAATGGTAGCAACATAACGACCATCACAAAATTTAACACATTCTTTCATCAACAATTTTGACCCTTTATTATCTTTATAAGCACATTAAAGAGGAAATAATGTATTCACAAATCACTTTCCCTTCTCTTCTGAATTTTACATGTTGCTAAAATAATTCAAATGCAGTCATTTCTTTACCGGGAATGATTGATGCACCGTCACAAGGCGGGTTCTTTCCACTCTAATCTGTTTAGCCCGTCCACAATTGCCTTTCGGAACTCGTCATTATGAAGAAGAAACGATGAGACATGGCCGCCCGTAACCCATCTCACTTCGGAACCAGGCCACGCCTTTTGAAGCTCCAGCACGGAGTGCTTCGGTATGTAACCATCATCCTGAAACACATAATTGCAGTTAAAGAATATAAATAGCATGTGGTTGGGGAAAACGAATCGATGAAGCAGAAGTTACAAAAAATATTCGCAAGGTTGCTAACAGAATCAACTAGAACTAACTACAACTTCATTGTTTACATTATGAAGCAACTTCTATTTTGATATGGTACTTACAGTTGCGGCAACAAATATAATGGCATTAGGGTTTTTGGGAATCGGAAAGCGTGTGACATCTGTGAGAGACAGTACGTTTCGCATTCGTTCTCTCACCTCCTCGAGAGTCATTGCAGCCTCTTTTGCTGCAAGATCTTCTCTCAGTGCCTCCCATGCAGTGGCATGCTTCAATATACCCTCACAGAATGCCACGACAGCCGAATGTGGGGAGAGAAAAGGAAGGGTTGCAACAGGTGTGGGGTGCAGTGATCCAACCATCGCAGCATGCACTCCCCCTAATTTCATAAAAGCATCAAACTTTAAAAGGATGTGCTAATTAAGGATGTAAGCTCCCCAGTTTCACAAAGAACATTGATCGTGTATTTCAACCATGAACTTAGCAATCTAGCCTCCAACAGAAGCCAGAAGGTAATATGTAAAAGATGTAATAAAAGCACCACAAGAACAGCAATTCTTACCCATACTAAGTCCACACACACCCATCTTTCCGAACCCTGCCTCAGAGTCTAACCAGTATAAAAGGCTGCGTGCCTCTTCAATGGTTGCTCTTCCTAATAAAAGTAAGTCACTAACACACAAGAGTTTTGCACCACGCTGCAGCATTGGACGTCTTTGACCATAGAAAGGGCTATAAAAATAGTCATCAATTAAAAAGCCTAAATGCATAAGTCAAAGACAAGCTCAGCTTCAAAATGTAGTTGATGATACAGAAAGTACTCTGACCTTTCGAGCACCATAGTTGCAATGTTTTGTTTCAATAATGGTCCACCAAGACGCAGTCTCCGTTCAAATGTATGGTCTCCAGTTCCTGCCAAAGGATGTTAAATAATATCAATAAAGATGGGTTATAAACATCAAATATAAGAGAACAGCAAACAAAAACGAGGTTTTATACGTGTGTAAACAACTGAGCACCACAAGAACATCAAATATAGTGAAAACAACCCAATAAACAGTACTAATTAGAGAAAGAGAGAGAGAGAGAGAGAGAACATACATGACATTTTGGAGACAAACTAGAAGAGAGAGAGAATAACTAGGAATTAAACAAAAAAGACCTTGCAACTGTATAAGACCAAGTGAAAAGGAAAACATCCTTGCAGTGATAGAAAAGAAAATCACAATTTCCATGACAAAAATGGAACGGCATCAAAAGGCACTTTGTTCTTTCAAAGGCAATGATCATCATGCAGTAAAAGCAACGGATAGAGGATCCGTAATCACCAAGTATATAGAATGCAAGATGTACTAAATTAATTAGTTAAACAATTCTTGCATTTTGGTTTTCACCAGAATATTTCTTCTATTAATGGATTCTCGAGTGCTTGAAACTCTAGATCTAGGCAACCAAAAGAATTGTCCTTTTTGGATGGCTGCAAGGTCATGTTTGAAATGAACAAATACCCATGTAATCTTCAAATAGACTTGTGCTTGACCATCTACTGCTTATTGGTTAAGCATTTCATTCTCTTCTTTAGTGTCTTAGATTTTGAACATCGGGCATAGCATGTAGGCATGAGTCAAGCCACTCGACTTTCGTTATCATACATTTATTTAATTTATTTATTTGGTTTTTTCCCCTATTTTTCAAGGGGGATATTTTAGTATACCTAACATGTGACGGCTGCATGTTCTTTTTTCAACTAGTTGTAATAATGTGATGAACTGAGTTATAGGCATGAAAGTGTAAGAACTCAACATAGTCCCCTCCTCTTTCTTTGTCTGATTTGCGAGGAAGGGTCCCATTGAATTCTTAACAATCATCAACATAATATTTTGTTCATATAAATGAAAACATATGGATCACTTTTCCAATGATTCTTTTTTTTTTTTTGAAAAATGAACTCCATTAATTGATTCATATGATCAATTGAACAAAAAAACTGCATGAAAGTTTTCAGAACTATAAATGCATCCATGTATAACAACAAAGCAATCCTTGTGCAGACTTAATCAAACAATTCCCCTGTTTATAATAGAAACGAATGCAATGAAGTTCATAAATTAATTATCAACTTGTCAGAAAGAAGGTAAGTGGTTCAGCAATCAACTGGGATATGTTGTCTTAATTAAATGTAAGCCTATATCATGCTGCTGTTCCACATAAACGGTTCAGGGAGGGTTCAGAAAAGTAAGGAACATTAGAATCGTTAAAACATCAATATTAAGTGTGCTTAAACTTCAACTATGTGCAGCTGGTTTGAAGCCGCCATCACAAAACCTAAATAACAAACAGCATGAAGCTGGTGTCTGATTTACAAAGGTTCTTGATCACTGTAAATAGACTTAAACCCAACATGTTGTTCAAATTCACATCATAAGTAAAGCAGAAACAAGCTAAGCCTAGAATTTCAATTACTATTATGAAATAATCAAAGCTCACCCCAAGAATAAAAGCAATCAAATTTGCACTATCAAGGAAGATAGGTAATAAATATTAATAAACAACTAAGGTAACCTCCTTAATAATTGAATCACTACTAAACTACAGTCACAAAATAAGAAAATGAAATCAAAGTCTTAAATTCAATGTTTCACCCATTCAATTCCAATTATATGGTGAAAGTTCTGCAAAATCAATTTAACTAATCAATCAAAGAGATTTCAAAGTGACATTTATATAAAGTCTAAAAGTATACCGTGATACCTGCAAGGTGAACAACACATGCCATCTTTTGAGGAGGCACGGATTTTGGGACAAGGAAAGCAACCCTTGCATTGTGACTTTCAGGTGGCAATGCATTCAGCAACTGCTCATCACAAGGGGTCCTAAACACACCTTCCCTCAAGCAAGCATTTTGGGTGTCCCAGACTGTTTTCCAAATGGGTTGAATCAAGCTCGGAGGCCAATTTTGGCCTTCAACTTCAGGGAACAGCTGGCTTATCAATCTCTCCAAAAGCTCAAGCTTTGTTCCACCCCAGCCTCTTGAGAAAAACGGCGGAGTTATCTTTGTTCTATGCACAAATGCACCATATACATGGTCTAGAATGTAATGAAGCATCCCTAGATTAACTGTGACCATTCTTTTAAGGAAAACCCAGATCTCAAAATTGCTTCAAAGAGTGGAAACGTGTCTCTCCTTTTTTATTGTTTTTAGAAATACCCAAAAAAAAAGTTAATTTCAATAACCCAGTAATCAAAACTCTATAAAAGATGAGATTTTTGAGAATGTGAAGAAAAGCACAATACAATTAGATATGGTTAATAAACCATACCTTCCCTCTAAAATCTGAAAACAAGCATGAAAAGATTGGATCCAATGAAGCAATGGAGTTACAAAAAAGGAAGAAAAAAACAAACTGTAAGCTATTGAGGGTAAGAAATTAATAAGAAAAATTAAAAATTTTGAGATAAATGAAGTGAGAGAAAAGGACTGATTATTAGGAAAGGGAGGAGATTTCAATTCCTTTTGGTCATTTTAAATGAAAGCAAAACAGAGGCTGCCCTCTTATCAATGTCTAACCTGTGGGTTGTATTAAAAAACTGCGGAAAGAGACGTGGAAATTGGGTCCCACTTGCCACGTGCTGATTTGCGGTTTTCTTGTTGTATGCTATCGGTAGTGACTGGTGAAGTGTGGGTCCCACCCTTATAATTAGGGATGGGATTGGATGAATCCGATTAGAGACGAGAATTTTAAATTCTTCACCCGAGCTTCGTCCCAAAATCATGTATATCTTTCATCCGACTTAATTTTTTTTTAGATAAAATATGAATCTAATCCGATCAGATTTAAAATTATAAAAAAAATATTTTTTTTATTTATTAAAAATAATAATTTGATTAAAAATAATAATATATAATGATATTATTATAATTATTTTAAATATATAAGGTGAAATTATTTTTTTTGAATTGGGTCGGGTCGAATAATTTTTACCCTAAATACGAATTCGACCTGATTTAAATCTAAATTTAAAAAAAATCGATCTGATCAAATCAAATTAAATCAAATCAAATTATTTTTAAAAAATTTAATAAAGAGTAATGGAATAAAATAAAAATAAAATAATGGTGGAGTTGATGATCATCCATCAATCTAATTAATCAATTATCTTACTAAGTTGAGATCTCTCCTAATCATACAAGGACACCACAACTATTAAAAATATTTTAATTAAATTCTCATATTTTTATTCGAATATTATTAATTTTAGGTTTTTTTTCTTGAGATGTGTTTGATATTTTAATTCTTTATACTTATTTAGTCGGTAAAGATTAATTAAGTACATCTTAATTTTTTATATTATATTTAATGAAAATAATTTTAATTATACCATGTAAGTCTAAATATCAAAACAGTGTTAATGGTGTATTTTTAATAAAAATTGAATTCTTTAAATATAAACTTAACCTAAAATATTTTAAACTAATAGCAACTTATTTTAACATTGTTATAAAATTATAGAAATTATAGTGAGAATAAAAGAAACGAAAAAGGGACAAATAATAATATGGGAGAGAATATTACTTTTAATTGTTTGTGCATAATGAACATTACAAAACTAATATTTATATAATTAGAATTATATGTGAACCCATAAGTTACTCTAATGATTAAGAAGAGTGTTATTTTCTTTAAAGATATTAAGTTTAAGCAATTGCATTCACTGAGTTTGTTTTGTCAATAATTAAGAAATACTAGGAATATACATTATCTTTTAATCATCTTAAATTATTTAAAAATAAATAAAATCATAGACACAGAGGGTGTTACAAAGAGATAAAAAAAAGAGTCTAATGATAATACCTTCCTCATGGATGTCCTAAATTATTTATCTTGTTAAAATATTACTAGGAAAAAGTCTGATGGGATAAAAATCTAATGCATGAAAAAACAATACATCATATCTAAACACGCATGTCATGTTGTTTTATTAAAAATCTTTTTAAGAAAATTTAATAAAACAAAATAATGGATAAAAGGAAAAGATTACATCATGTATTTAAACAATATATTATATTATTGGTAACGTATGAAATTAGCCTTAATTATTTAGATTTTAATAGAATAATTTTCATAATGATTCATGCAATATTGATATTATTCATAAAATACAATACTCTCTTGAGCAGTATCAATATTGAATGGTTCAAGAGATTCCAGTATACTATTAGATATTGATGTTATCAATTTGATATTGATCATCCTTTCTTAATATCGATACCATTGAGTGAGTGTCGATACTCAAGTATTTGTACTCAAGTATTCATGCCCTCTAGTTAAGTATCCACACTCTCCAATATGAAAAATTAGAAGCATGTCATGTTATATTCGAATAACTACAAATTGTTATAAAATGATTGAACAATGTTAGTAAAGGGTCCTGATTGAATAGAATATTTAAAATACCCTTAAGTGGTATAAATGAACAATACCCTTAAGACTTAATAAATAGGTTTTAAAGGCGTAAAGCATGAAGAATAACGTAAAATATTTTAGGGGTTATGAATGGATTTAGAAAACCCTAAACGTGTACAAATGATGAAAATACTCACAAGTGTTAAAATGACCAAAATATCCCTTAGATTAAAATGTATGAAAAACCCTTGCCTGTTGAAATGATTAATTACCTTAAAGTGAGAAAATTAGTAAAATACTCATATGGGTGTAAATAATTAAACAACCATTATTATTGAAAATTACAAAAAATAATCTTATATATAGAAAATTATTAAAATACCCTTAAGATAATTGAGGTTTTAAGAGCCTTATGCTATTAAATAATTAATATATCCTTGTACATGTTATAAGAAAGATGAGCCATAGTCGAGAATTAATTGTGTGGTAACTTGAGACAAAGGTTTACGCTTAGTTTGTGAATGATTAGTATAAAAATGTGGTTTATGATGTGATAATTTGGCCTTCAAGGTAATGTGAGTGTGCATGGCCTACAAGCACCTATTGATTGTATGTCTGTATGCGTGAGACTATTCATATAGTGGAGGTTCATTCTATTTGATGCGTTTGTAATTTCATGTATCAGTACTTTATTTATGTCTATTGGATTTTGTGGAATGTTGTATCCGATGCATCAATGATTATAGATATCATCTCCCACTCATGTTATTTGACGTATTCGTGATTTTAAGTACCATACTTATTTTTAATATTCGAGGCGTTAGTGATTCCGAGTATCCCTCATACATAATTATCTGTAATACTTGATGCATTAATGGTAATTATCCCTCATACACTAGTATACTTATTTGTAAAATCTGATGCATCGGTGGTTCTAGGTAATCTATAATTGTTGTTATGAATACATACATAAGTTCGATGACTATGAAACAAATGTGTAATCGATAGCACTGCATGTACTAATATAAGACTAAATAAAGTATGAAATAATAATATGATTGTACGAATAAATCTTAGATCTATGGAGTAAAAACATGATTGATAGTACTCTTGTATATTTTACCGATAAAGGTCAGTAAGAAAAATATATATGTTTATATTCATGTATCTCTATTTAAACTTATATTATATGTTTATATTTATGAATTACGTGATATATAGTAGAATAAAAGTGTATTAATGAGTTTGTAAAGCTTAATGCCTGAATATTTTCATTAGTAAATTGTGATTGTTTTAGAGAAGCACTATCAACAAAAGAACTTCAATATCACTTTTTCAGAGTACAACTTCCGGTTTACATTAGAGTGCATCTATATTTATCATGGTTTTCAGAACCGGACCGGTTAGCGAACCGGTCATGCTACCGGTTCACTGGTTCAACCGGTCGAACCGGTCCGACCGGTCGGAAGAACCGGACGACGTCATAATTATTTAAAAAATTAAATAAAAATACCAAAAATATTTAATAAAAAATAATTTTTTATATCATAACATATATAAGTTAAAAACCATAAAATCAAGTGAAACAAAATGATTCAAATTAACTACAACATAATATTTATGGTAAAACATATTAAATAATAAATATAATTATATAACTATAATTAAAAAATAAATTTGAGGTTAAAAAAATCATAACAAAATTATATAACTATAATTATATAACTATTCTTTCATTCAATCAAGCTCGAATTTTAGGCTTCAATCGAGCTTCTAATTTTTTTTGAATTCAAGCCTTTTTGAGTTCAAGTTTCAATATTATATTTCGAGTTTGAGTTGAACTTGATAATTTTTAGCTTGTGAGTTTGAGTTGAGTTGAGCTTACTTTTAAAGTTTTCAAGTTCAAGTCGAGCTCAGCAATACTCGAGTTCGACTTGGCTCGTTTAACAAACGACGTTGTTTGGTTTAATTTTAAAAAAAAAAAATCCCGATTTTTCCCGATTTTTTCCAGTTTTTTCCGGTTTTCTGCCGGTCCGGTTCGAACGGTTCAACAGTTATGGCCAGTTCACTAATAGCGGTTCAACCGGTTTAGATTGAACCGGACTAAGCAACGGTTCCCGGTTGAACCGGCCGGTCCGGTCCGGTTTTTAAAACAGAGATATTTATAGGACCTTGCTAGTAATTCACTTTGTAAACTCTAGTAAGTATCATTTTGATTTACACCTTGTAATATTTGGAGCTCTAATTTTTTTTGTATAAACACGTTTAAAATTATTATGCATCGATTTTTATTCATTATGGATGTTATTTTTAAAATTATCATAATTAAATTAATTTTAAATGGTTTGGATTAGAGATCACTTTGGTGACCCAATATGACATCTTAGGCCCACTAGATCCGTGAATCGAGTTTAAGATATTATATAAGTGATATTAATTCATATAACACTTCTTAGCGGATTCATAATACTTCAACATCAATTGAAACAAAAGTAATAACATCTAGCGTGTATGGTTTACGACTAATGTCTATCATCGTCATAAAGCATACAACGAGAATATTTTTGAATGTTTTAAGTTAAAGCTTAATACTGACGGTAGCGGATGCACTCCTAAGTATTATGACATCTAGCGTGTACGGCCCGTATGGAGCGAAGGAGAAATCAGCGGAGCCATACGTAAGGTAGTCAACAGAGGCTGTTATAGGCCGGTTCGAGAATAAGTCGTGTGTTTTGAGGAACTTCGTGGCCATTTCCGGAGAGGAAGCCACAACACATGGGACAGAACCGAGACGAATATGCATCAAGGGGCCATATTTGGTTGAAAGCTTGTGAAGGGCTTGGAGAGTATGGGTGCGAGAAGATGGAGGTGGCC